GTAGATGACAAATTTTATTTCATTTATTTATCATTTTTCCAAAGGTAAGATTTATTCTTATTTCTATATCTTTTTTAATGTTTGCAGAAAAGTGTGCATTTTCAGAAAATACATTTTGGGTGCACTTCCATAGACATTTTTGCAGCTGTGTTTTGCTAAGATAAAGTTATTTTATACATAATCCCCCAATATGAACATTTTTCTATACATTTTTTTCTGAAATGTATGCATTTTTGGTGTGCAAACTTCAAACTTCGGAAAATATTTCTACTTTCTCTGTGTGTTTGAATAGTACAAGTTGCTGTCCAAGAACACCTGTGGCACTAAAGTTGAGAATCACTGCTTCACACTCAATGATCATTATGTAAGAGTCCACAAAAAAGTTGACCCTGAACATCCACACAAACAATGGGAAAGCTATTTTTAAAAATGCAACAAAATAGAAGTTAAAACTATTCTAGTTTGGATCACTCTGGTTCCTTGGACCGAGACAGAAAGTGTCAGCATTCCTCATTAAAATTGGTTAAGAAAATGTGAACCTCTCTCAGAAATGTCACTTCAGGTTGTAATCCTACACACACTTACTTATACATAAGCTTGATTACTTCTCTCCATGCACTTAAAGCCTTGGACTGTAAGAGAGCAATCCTGAAATATCTAAAAGGTATATGTAGTTTTCCTCTTGGGTAAACACAATTTTACTCTAAATCTGTTTGATACCAGGTTCAAATCAATGTAATGAGGCTTGTGGAATGCAAGTTAATTAATGAATATTCTTAGCTGTAATAATTGTTACATTACTACTGTTTCATACATTAATTTGTCTTAAGGGCACTATTTACGTGCATGGATAGCAGTGTTGTATACTTTAGCTGAATGTTATTTTGTTCATGACTGTGCACAAGACCCCCCCGAAAAACTGGTTTTGTCCCATGACCCCAACCACACGATCATCTTAACATAAGCCAAAATGGTCGGATTTAAACAAGGGGGAAATTGCCCTTAGATGGACATGAGAATAGGTTTTGAGCTACTGGCCATTCCCAGGAGTAAAATGCAGGAGACACACACCCCAACATAATACATATACAGAACATCATAACGATTAAGCAACTTAAATTCTACAGCTTATTTGGTAGTAACTCCTAAGAGTTTTGCTTTGACTACACATAGTTCTAAAAATTAATGTTTAAAATCTTCTGGAGCAAACTATATCTGCATAAGAGTGATGATTTTACTGATAGAAACAGTTCCTTTGTCTGTCCCATGGCTTGTCTGACTAATGGGTAATCAGGCTCATTGCATGCACGCCATGGGAGCCCTGTGAGAGTAGGATGCATTTGCATCCCAGGGCTTGCACACTGTGAGACTGATTAGCTGCAAACAAGGTAAGCCATGGGACAGAAGTAGGAACTCTTTAAATACTGAAAATCTCCCTCTGCTGGTGACATCTCCACCCTTCCACAAGCATAACTAACACAACAGGATTTTGACCAATGTCTGGAGCAATGTTCCCTCTAAGATGCATGCAGGTGCACAGAGTTCCATCGGTGCTGGGCAGAAGCAGCTGTGTCCAATGCCTGTTTACTTTTGGGTTTCGGAGGCTCCCACACAGCAGGGATGGCAATTGCAGGGAGCAGAGGTCTGGAGAACAGATGCCACAGTGTTGGCAATATAATGAATATTATAATGAGATAGCAAGTTGAATGGCAAAAAGTATTTAAGCAGATTCAATTATGCAGTTTAAAGACAGTTAAATTATCTTTCTCTGTGACGTGATCCCAATAATTATAATTGACTAAAAATGATTCTTAAACATGCTGCACATGAAATGCAAATAAATAACTAAATAAATAAAATAAAATAAACCCAGAATGCAATTATCTTATGTAGTTTTGCTGTAAGCTTATTAAAGGCAGATCAGAGTATATATGTGTTATTAAGTCTGTAAAATTAAATACAATGCAATAAAGTGAGTGTGATCATTTAAATTAGTATTTCCCTTGAGCCTGAATTGCATAGGATTTCAAAGGCTCATTGAAGGAGGCTCATCTTCTGTGGGTGAAGAATATATGTCAGACTTGTGACAAATTTATGCTGAAGAAGATTAACTGCATTTATAAGTTATATAACAAGTGCAGATAAAGATGAGTCAAAACAAATTTGATAGGAGTGTTCAGTGGTTTTAAAAGACTGATTTAACCACTGACTGTTTTATCTGAAAACACTCTGATTCTGGTTGCAATTGACATTTTCAGTTAGCCTGAATAGTTTCATAAGGACTTAACTGTATGTGGGTTCTTATTTTATTACGTGGCTGGATAGCTCAGTGAGTAAAGATGCTGCTTATGGAGACAGAGATTATTTAAACCCATAATGCAATTATCATATGTAGTTTGCTGTAATCTTACTGAAGTTCAGTTCCCCACTGTGCCTCGTGCACATAGAGCCAGCCTGTGTGGCCTTGGGCAAGCTGCAGAGTCCAAGTGTCTCTCCAGAAAAAGGGAATGATAAACCACTTCTGAGTACTCTTTATGTAGAAAATCCTAAAAAGTGTTACCAAAATCAGAACTGACTTGATGGCACTCTATCATTATCATCATCATTAGTTTAAATATGCCCAATTATATACTGACTTTGAACCATTCATGTTGCAACTCTATATGCATGTATTTGGTAGTAAGTCCCATTGAATTCAAAAAAAGAATTTTCTGGATAGACATATATAGAATTGTGCTGCAGATCAAAGCTAGGGGATCTGTGGGTCCACGGCATCTAGCAGCCCTAGCCTGTACAGTAATAGAGTGGGGATGGCAGGAGTAGATCAACATCTGTAAGACCAGGTTTCCTATCTCTGATGTAGACCAATTATTTTTTATTATTGCTCCCATACAGAAGATTAGACAAACAGATATATTTTTCTTTGTGCATTTTGTTTTTGACGTGTTACTGATAATTGAAAATAAAACCATATCCTGGTTTATCATCACAGCTCCATTAAATGCTTCTTACAGCCTCTAAGAAGCATATTTGCAATAATAATATTGTAGCACTCTTTTACAGACATCCCTTATTTGCATGAAATAGGCATATTCTGGTTCTCGTTTAAAAATTGAGAACATTTAAAAAGCACTTACGGGAATTGCAGTCCTAAAACATCCTGTGTGAGTTAATGTTACTTACGGATTGTATTGACTGATGTGCCAGTCCTTTGTCTTAACCTGCAGTAATATTATCTTGACATTGGCCTTGTACACCAACAGTACATATAGACAGAGCTGCCATTTAAAATTCTTAGCATCAGGTTGCCAGGTAACAGATTCCTAATTACATATCCAAAGAACAATAAGTAGAGGGAGAAATTGCAGTACCACAGTTCCCCGAACCATTGCATGAACAGTTGCAGAAGAGTTCTTATGATGCAGCATTATCATGTATTTGAAGTCATAATATAGCATAAATACATAGATAAGGAGGGCATTAGTAGGATATAAACTGAAATGGGCAATAATGAGGTTTTGAGAAAGATTGTGTGCAAATGAAAGCTTTTTTTCATTCTGATTTCATGGATTCCTCTTGTGCAACACCCTTTTGAGATTGAGTTTATTAGGAGACTGGAGCAGTTCCTCTTATTTGACGGGGCTGGTCCAAACCGCTCTTTGTTCGTGGGCTTCCTTAGCGGAGCGCTCCTCACCACGCATATTGTGCTGCAACAAGGATGCTTGGCCCAATCTCCCTCACACTGTGGCTGACTGAAAGTCGAATCTGGTCTGATTACCCTCCTCCAGTGATCTTGCCCTTGAGGGAAGACCACTACCGTCCATTCTTGAGTCTCTGTTACTGTCACCTTCTTTTCTTTTAGATCAGGGTCAGGCAATAATCCTCCCATCTTTAAGTTGGGAAAGTCTTATAATAACTTGTGTGTTTTTTCATATCTGAGACTCTGCTTCTTTCCTCTCTCTCTTTCTCTCTCTCCCCCTTATTTCCTGCTTCTTTATCTCTCCCCGGTACACTGAAAACTCTCCTTCTCTCTTGATCCTTTATATCCTCCTCCCACACTGGTAGGGTTTACTCCTCCTCCTCCTTTCCCTTTCCTTCCTCTACCAGACAGACTTCTCCTTTTACTTCTTTCTCCTTCAATTCCTTCCCATTGTTTCCCTCAACAACCAATCCTTTCTTTTCTTTTATCTCTCGCTCTTTCTCCGACGCTTTTATTTGAGGGCATGGCTCACTTTTTCTCTCTCTTTCCTATTTCTCCTTCACACCTTTAAAAACAACCTTTATGGAGATGGAATACACCTCTTTCTAGGAGAAGGAGGCCTTCAGATCCAAACTGTAGTCTCAGACTGTAGTCCCACTACCTGCAGTGAATAAATTAAGACAGTAAGAAGTAGAACATAGTTGGCTCTAAAAATCTTTGTTTGGTTTCAAGCCATTGTCTTCAAATTTCTTAACTCTATAGTTAGAAAGGATGCTAGACATCAAGATGTCACAATCATCCTCAGGTTATGCACTCTCCCCATCCGTCACAGCCAGAAATTTTCACTTAAAATTTTGAAGAATCATAGTTTAGGGTCCCACTTGAACCTAAATCTGTGGGTATTCTGAACTGCGGCTTGTTGAAATAAGTTTCCTTCAAAATCAAAGGCTTGGTATTGCCCTGTTCCAAACAAAGGACAGTTGAAATTAACCAAAGCTTGACAAATGTGAATGAGATCTGAATGAACATGGCAGTTCAAAGGAACACTCCACTTAGCCAAAAGCAGAAGTGAAACCAGTTGTGTCAAAGCAACACAGCACTATGCAAGCCCAATACTTTCTGAGGCTCATTCCAGTCATGATGCACCACGGTTTACTATAATATGTGAAACAAAGGACAGTTGAAATTAACCAAAGCTTGACAAATGTGAATGAGATCTGAATGAACATGGCAGTTCAAAGGAACACTCCACTTAGCCAAAAGCAGAAGTGAAACCAGTTGTGTCAAAGCAACACAGCACTATGCAAGCCCAATACTTTCTGAGGCTCATTCCAGTCATGATGCACCACGGTTTACTATAATATGTGAACTTACTTTTCTGAGGCTCATTCCAGTCATGATGCACCATGGTTTACTGTAATATGTGAACTTACTTTATGTGTAGATGGCATCATATTTTGAATATTTTGGTATTTGAGACATATCCTTTTAAAAACAGCCAGATAAATATTGTCTGTGGAATAATATATAGCAGGGCATCTCCAGAGAAGGTTCCTACAGCTAACCTCACAAAGAGCTGTAAAATCAGAGTATACTCTGTTTCCCCGAAAATAAGACCTAACCTGAAAATAAGCCCTAGTAGGATTTTTCAGGATGCTCGTAATATAAGTCCTATCCCAAAAATAAGCCCTAGTTAAGTGAAACCCCACCCTCCACCATTGTGCAGCAACCAGAAGATGATGACATGACTGTATTTGAATAAATGTACAGTAGATTGTTGTACATGAAAAAAAAAACATCCCATGAAAATAAACCCTAATGTGTTTTTGGAGCAAAAATTAATATAAGACTCTGCCTTATTTGGGGGAATTAATATAAGACCCTGCCTTATTTGGGGGGGGGGGAACAGGGTAGCATTCTTAATTTGAATTTAATAGAATGAGAGCCATCACAAAGATAGATCCAATTGTAATGACCAAAACAGCAAGAGTGCTATAGCTATATTCTGTGAAATAGAAACCAATAACACAGATGAAGTTAAGTGTTCAGGCATCCGTGTGGGGGTTGGTGCGGGCAGCCATGCACGCGCATGTTCCTTCAGCATTCAAAAATGTTGAAAATATACAATGTGGCCCTCACCCTCAAAAGTTTGGAAACCTCTGGTATAGAAGAAAGTGAAATTGACAGATTTGTCCAGCCAGCCAGGTGGCAAAAGTTCCTATTTCTTGACATTTTGGCTTTCAAGAATCACTGCACATTCAACCATGTTTATAATGCTAAATTAGGGTTGCCACCTCTTTTCCTTGCAGGTTTCTCATCTTAATGGCAACTCAGTAAAAGACACAATATGATCAATTCATTGCTGGGAATAATTGTACAAACTGAATTTGCCATGTGCCTGGGGTGCAAATTTCTTTTGTACTTCTTAATTAGGTAAGAACTTACTCTTCCCCTCTCCAGTTTCTTCATAAATATATTAAAACACTGTCTGTGAAAGAAAGTAAAATTGACAAATCAACCTCCTCCTAATCAGAACTTCTTTATCTGAGGAACATTAGGCAAGTCTAGGACAGTTGAAGCATAGAAAAGATTAACGTAGTGAAGCTGGGCAAGGGATAACATCACCTGATATTGCAGAGACATGCAAGGGAACAGAGAATCTAATGAATCAGAATGATATAAGTTAGTAATGCCTGGTGCAAGAGAATATAGAGCACAGTTGGAGACAAATCCACTGCTTGATTACTAATCAAGGGCATATTCAAAGACAGGGAATGATAGCATCAGCTTTTATTATTCTGATGACCATGAAAAATGTTGAAACACAGCATGTGCCAAGACCCATGTTGCTTTACAGATGCTTGGAAATGAAAGTAAGTGGGAAATGTATTGAAAGCCATTCAGTTTCTTACTCCTGAAACATTAAGTACTCTATCACAATGTTGTGTCTATTTCGGAACTACTATAACCTACTGTTGCAATGAATAATAATATTGGATTCTATTGGTTACAACATGGTCCCAATGACATTTTGCTTTGCATCAACATGATTAACCAGTGTTTCCTTTAACATATAATGACATCACAACTCACTTTCCAGAGATGTAGGGAAGTTCATTATGATTCCATACATTTGCAAAATTGTTCCATCCCTTGAGCACTGCTTGGGAGCCATTCTGGGGTGGATGAGGGCAAATGGACTGAGGTTGAATCTGGACAAGACAGAAATCTTGTGTGTGGGCAGCCCTGGTGTCAGTGGGTTGGGAAACTGCCTTTCCTTTGGGGGAGTGACTCTTCCCACAAAGAATTAGGTTCGCAGTTTGGGCATCTGTCTGGCGCCAGATTTCACCATGGAAACTCAGGTGACATCTGTGGTCCAGGCAGCCCATTTCCATCTTTGGAGGATTGCCCAGCTGCATCCCTATCTAGACGCAGGGGTGCTCATGTCTTTGATTCATGCCCTCGTAATCTCAAGAATAGACTACTGCAGTGCTCTCTACGTGGGGCTACCCTTGAGGTTGATGCGGCGACTACAACTGGCTTAGAATTCTGCAGCCAGATTAATAACTGGGGTGAAGAAATTTCAGCACATCTCACCCATTCTAGCCACCCTTCATTGGCTACCATTTCATTTCCGCATTGACTTCAAGGTTATGATGATAACATTCAAAGACCTAAACGGTTTAGGACCTCGGTATCTAGCAGAACACCTGCTCCCAGCCAGATCTGTCCGTAATACCCATTCTTCACAGGCAGGGCAGTTGAGGGCCTTGACCCCGAAGGAGGCCTGGAGGGAAAGAACAAGAAGCTGGGCCTTCTTGGCGGTCGCCCCCCCGCCTGTGGAACAATCTGCCCATGGAGATATGCCTGGCTCCCTCGTTGGATGGGTTTAAACGAGCATTAAAAACTTGGCTCTTCCATCAGGCTTTCCCTGAGCATTAAATTGCTGATATCTCTGCCTCCATTTTATCATTCTTTCTGCCGTCCTTTCATCATCCTTTCTACCATCTTTATAGCCATCTGTTTTAATTTATCCTACTAGTTATTGTATCTGTTGAATATTTGTATTATTTTATTTTTACTGTGCTTTAAAATTGCGTTGTTTGTTTTGTTGTTGTTAGCTGCCCAGAGTGGCTGGCCGCCAGTTGGTGCGGGGTATAAATTTAAGAAATAAGTAAGTAAGTAAGTAAGTAAGTAAGTAAGTAAGTAGTAAATAAATAAATAAATAAATAAATAAATAAATAAATAAATAAATAAATAAATAAATAAATAAATAAATAAATAAATAAATAATAAGAACAACTTAATAATTGCTGAATAATGGCCAGGCTCATTTGATTAAAATGTTCTTTAGAAACAAACAGACTCCTACCATGTAAAAATATCTTTGCAACCTCATTTGCAGAGAAACATGTCTGTGTGGGAGATAATGGATAGTTACTGAAAGCAAGTCTTTGAAGCTGTTGAGGAAAATCATTATTGATATATGACACTTTCAAATTTTCACAGATGCACAGAACTTGAAAATATGGAAAATATTCACCACTGTCACCACCCACAGTACAACCAAAATTCACAGCTTTAATTAGTGCTGCCCTGAGCACAGATTTAATGAAGGTTAAATTTTAATTGATTATGATACCCTAAGTATGTGAATGTTTAACTTGCACACAAAAATCAGAACATGTTCTTGTTTGAGATGAAAGTGAAGACTACTTTCCCCCTGTATTTCACATACAGAAGCTAATAAAGAATGATAGTTCAACAATAATAATAGGAACAGAAACCACCATTACACAAGGGTTCTATAGATATCTTAGGAGATACACCTCATTTGGCATAGAACACAATAGCTCTATCCTCCTAATGAAAGTGAATATTCAGTGACTGCCTCACTCTACCTAATGGTAGGGCTGTCCCTGGTTTTGTTGAAACTCCTGTCTTTGGAAGTTATCAACAGAACGTTAAGCAGGCACCTAATGGAAATGTTAAATATTTGACATTTTGAATTTGTTCCATGATCAGATAGAAAATAAGCCACATGATAAATCTGTGAAGGCAGGTCATAGACGTTTATTGTTTTGAAACATCTAAGTATGTGTTTTTGCTGTTTCTATGGCTGTTTTGAATATATAGGCTTCTCATTTATAGAGATTAATATGAAAACAGTAACAAAATAATAAAGTGATAGATATATTGGCTCTTTTAATAACAACTATATTTACTTAAATATTGATATCCTACTTGTGTATCATTTCATCTGAATTTTAATTTAATTAGCAGTTTTAAAAATCCAGCACCATCTGTTATCAACAAAAAAAAATCATTTTCTTAAGTATGTGAAAAATGGAAGATAAAATTTAGCAATACCATAAAACATGTCATTTCAAGCAGTGGTCTTCTCAAAAATATGCTTATTAATAAAGCAATTAAAAAAGAATAAAGATTGATCAAAAAAGGAGTGTCTTTCTCCAGAACTCCCTTTGGTATTTAAGGTCCAGCACAGCTTAAGCCTACTGTTGTGATAATTATTTCATCCGTTTCATACTATAAAAAAAATGAAATGGTAACATTTTTTCCAGTCTGTATGTTCCATGGCAGGCCTACCCAGCTATGAATCTCAGAGGATGACTTTGGTCATTTATTTTCTTTCAGCTTAAGCTACCAAAACGATTTTGAAGAGATGAAAGATAGTGGAATTTACGCCACCTAAAGCTTCTTACAGCAATAGTGGGGTACAAAGAGATATATATATAGATCTGATCTATTGCTAAGAATTTGTTAGAGGACAGAGAATTAGATATTAAATTAAAACTAAAGAATGAAGACTGCTTTCTTCACTAAAGTTTCAGACATGATTGACTGTAAACAGTCCTAGAAAGCCACTGAACAATAAATGACACTAAGTTCCAACAATCTGCCCTTCAGGTCTATCACTAAAGGAGTTAAAAAGGAAGTTGCTCGTGTCCTTTGAGCTCAGATGTGTGGTGCTTCCTACATGAAGTCTTGTGCACATTCAAGATGAAAGAACTATATGAACGAGAAATACATGCATCTTAAGTATATACGAATACCGCATCTGTCATGAAAATGTTTGCTGTGATTGTAGATATTGCACATCTTTCCTGGGTGGATTAAGTATAGTTAGCCAACATGCTGGCAGACGATTTGAGAAGGTATGTGTGCCTGCTTGAGATGTTAGTGCTAGGCTACAATATAAGAAAAGGAACAAGGGTCTCTTCTGTGTTGTTTCTTTCCTCTGATTCATATCTAGTGGTTCTCAATAGGTACAGTAATTCAAGTAGACAATGATACCCAAACTGAAGAGAAAGCCATTGCATATCTACCATTTTGCTACCCTCCCACAGGCTTTAAGACTTTAGTGAAAGAAGGTAGAATGTGCTACCAGTGTCAAGTTGCAGCTTCCACCCACAGGCTTCTGGGCCTGTCACTGTAGTTGTAAAATATCCAAAAAGGAGAGATCTATCAGGAATATTGCACTCAGCTAGGAGAGCCACCAGCCTGTCTTAATGTATTTTTTAAAAATAACATACTGTTATTAAATTTATTTACTGGCTGAAATAAAACAAGATTGCCCATGGCAAATTAAGCCACCTACATCCCATATGCTTCATGATTCATTACCTCCCGGAAAAGTTTTGTTGGGTGTTTTTTTAAGAAAAAGAAATTTGCCATCTAGTACCACTCTCCCTTTGAAAGGAGATGAATCCTACAAACAACAAGCTAGATTTTTTATACGACCAAGTGAGATCCTAAAAACATGGTTCTTAAGAATCCATTAAGAATACAGTATATTACTTTATCCAGGTGTATCACTAACCCATTTAATACAAATGAAGCCTGAAGAATGAAACTGTGTATTACATGGATTACTCATCCTTACTTAGTCACTCACAAACCCTTCAAATTGTTTTCTTCCACGATACTGAAAGGAAAAAAAAATCCTATTGTGATTATCAGTATGATGAGACGTGAACTGCAGATATACTTCAAATGATCTCTCTATAGTTCATGGCTCACATGATGCAACTCTAAGAGCTAAAATATTTTATTTTCTATAAAATCTATACATGAAACATAAATTAAACAGTGAGAAACTTTCAGAATTGAAAAAGAATTCAGTGACAGAATCTTTATAAATGCATGATGACCTTAGACTGAAGCTATGTAGGCAGTCCAATTTACACAGAGAGGTGTCAGCATGTATGGTTCCCATATCATGTTCAGTTTCCTTGAGAGAGCCTTGCTTATGCTGGGGATACAAATTTAGAACTGCTGCATGGCAGCCTTTTCTGGAAAGACTATTCCATTGTTCTGGTGCTGAACCCCACGTAGATCTGCAAATGTGATATACACTTTACATTCAGTGTGTAATAACTGGTGCTTCCCTGTGATAAGTTCAGTGCTATTACTGTTCCTTCAAAATCTTCCTGTCTCTTTGTACACATGTATTTTTTTTCTAGAATAGCTGTACACAAATCTTCCTGTCTCTTTGTACACATGTATCTTTTTTTTTCTAGAATAGTTGTACATTAACCTTTTCAGGCATTCTGACCATTTTAACTATCTTTCCCAGGATGGGGAACACTGTTCCTCAGTATGTTTTGGACTACATCTCTTGTAATTTGCTTGATGGGGCTTTCGGGAGTTGAAGTTTAAGACTTCCAAAGGGCCGTGTGTTGTACAATCTTGAGCTATCACTTCTAAGAAGGAAGCCCAAACATTAAGAACAATGCTTCTGCAATACCTGTGACTGTATTTGTTGTGATTAGAGGTTGTTTTTTGTTTTTTTAGTTTTCGGAAACTCTAACAGAGAAAGCAACTTTTCAGATAACATGAAATCTACCTGTTACATGAAGTTCATTAGTGCTGTTCAAGCAATGGAAAATCTATTTCATAAAGTATTCTGGCATGGGTTAATGTGGTTCATATAGGCACATTCCTTTCAGAGCCATTGTAAGAATAGCAGCAGCCAGATGGGGAGTGGTCTTTTCATCAGCGCCACTGCTGTATGCAGCAGCTTCTTCCTCTAGTATACTTACATCAATACACTGAAAACAGAAGAAAAAACTGATATAGATATACTTACTGTATATACTTGAGTATAAGCCTAGTTTTTAAGCAGATTTTTTACTTGAAAAAGCACCCCCTCAGCTTATACTCGAGTCAGTGTCAAAATTTCATGTTCTCCCCTGCAGAGCAGGTGTTCTCCGAACTCCCTCGCTCATCTACGGACACCTGCAGCCTCTGTGGGTGGTCCGATGACCCAGGTTAAGTACACTGCATTTCCACTTCCAGGACACTCCCATCCTCCTCCTCCTGCATATTCTATGTACCCACCTTCCTCCTCCCACCTTCCTCCTCCATCCTCCGTCTCCCTCCATCTTGTTATGCAGCAGTAGAACAGTAGATAAGCGCAACATACGGTATGAGTCCTGCCTCCACAGGCAGTGAAGTGTGTCTTGCAGCTCAGAAGGGCAGTATCTTCAAAAATATTTAACCTACTGGTGCCTCAATTAATGTAATTTTATTGGTATCTATTTTTATTTTTGAAATTTACCAGTAGCTGCTGCATTTTCCACCCTTGGCTTATACTCGGGTCAATATGTTTTCCCAGTTTTTTTGTGGTAAAATTGGGTGCCTCAGCTTATATTCGGGTCAGCTTATAGTCAAGTATATACAGTAATTACATTGGTGTGCAAATAATAAATAAGTCTAAGTCAGACTACGACTACACAGTCAAATACTGCAGGATTCACTCTCAATGTAAAATACATGAATTCTCTTTATAAAAAACTGATCATGTGACAAAAAGGCCAATTTGAATCAGTCTGGCCATTTTTGCTCCCATTGTGGAGTTGTTGGGTTTTTTTGTCTGCTGCTTCGGGCTTCTACTTTTTTCAGAAGGATTCAGACAGTCTTTTCCCATGTGATTTGTTATTTGGTTCTCCAAAAAGATTGGGAGCATGACTCTGGGTAGTATTCCAATGATGTACTAAGCTGGGCATGATGCTTTGGACTGCTGGAACATCCAGCCACACGATTTTTCTCTCTATCTATTTCCTCCAAAGTATTTTTAATTTCAAAAAACAAAAACAAATTATATATGTGTGGTGGATTTTTTTGTCTCAGACACCAGATAAAGTTGGGTCACCTTGGTTACTACATACCTGAATCTGAGATGGAGAACAAATATTATGTTCTGCTCTGTCTTAGGCATTTTCTATCTGTCCAAAAGACAAGATAGCTTCCACCTCCATTCCAGAAAAAAAAATGAAATGTCCTGCCAGTTAAATTTTACTACAGTGGTCACAGTGGGTCCTGCACTACACCTGAAGGCATCAAGCTAGTTTGGGAGTGGTTGGGTACAGGACAGACAAGGTAGGCAGATCTGTCCTCAAACAGAAGGGAATTGTCAGGGGACCTTTGCTGCAGTTCCCAGTATCTTTCATCTGAGACTGCTTCCTCCCTTTTTATAATTGTAAGTCCAACCCTGCAGGTATAATTGCCTTTTAAGTCTCCTCTCATCTCAGAATGATGCCTGATTTGGAAAAAAAAGCAACAATATGAGGTGCAGTCTCAACTAGCCACATGGTTCTTGTTTATGCTCCTCTGTCATTGGTAGTGAATGGCATGGTAACTACACATTATCCTACAAAGAGGACAGGGGAGAATGAAGTATGTGGTAGCTGTTTTCAACAGCATTTGATAGTCACCTTTTCATTTCATTTCTCTTTTTGCCAAGGTTACAGCATGTTATGACAGCTGCTTACATTTGAAAGAAAACTCCTCATAGGGCTGCAGTTAGGTGGTTTTAGAATCTGGATGTAATGATCTCACAGAACGCCCTGTCTAGATGGTAATATGATTCAAAAGTGCTGCTGTTTAGGAGCCTCGTCATTCATGTATTTACTTGCACCCCCCAAAAAACACACAAAACAAAAAACTACCAAATACCAGCTGTGAATAAGTTTTGTGTACTGACTCTTAACATTACTCTTATTCAGACATTAGGACTGGAAATATGTGGGGTTCAACAGTGGTGGTTATGCTGGGATGCAGGAAGGCCCTGCTCTGATGACCGCACATTACCTTATAGTTCTACAGAGCTTTATGTGGTCAGTATAAATCCTTCATAGATGTTATTAGCATGTTAAGCTATGTATCTGTATACAGATTTTAGTGAAACTTGAATTTAATATGTGTTCCAGCTACTCCCAAACTAAAGATGTGTAGTGTGGTAGGAGTATCCACACCAAATAATCTCAAGATACTTTTGCTTACTAATAAAGATGGGGGAAAAGTGCTTTTTCTGAGACTGGTTATAATGTTGATCAAGCTTCTTCTTTTTTGAAAGCATTCCAACATGTTGTGCTGATGTTTACTAAATTCCGTTCCTGGTCATTTTTTTCCCATTTATCAGCTACATAAAGCTCGCTGATAAAGTTGATAAAGAAAAAAAAATCATTCTCAAAAAAATGAGCTTCAATGCTTTGTGTTGAATTTCTGGCTCACCAGTTCCTTCAGATCCTTCAGATTTAGGCTGAACCAGGAGGTTATGTGTCACAATGTCGATATATATCAGAATATTCCCAGCACCAGTGACTGACAAAATCTGTGCAGCCACCCAGTCTAGTCAGACAGGTAAAGTTGAAGAAATATAATTTGAATAGTTGCCCTTGTCAATGTAATTCTACTTTGAAGAATCCTTCTTTACTTTTGTTCTACCTCATTTTACATTTTTCCTCATTTTCAGGCATTTTAAAATGCTTCCTTCTTTTCTCCGGAACATATTCCATTTCATTCTGAGAGAAATAATGTGAGTCTTCATTACTTCCTAAATTGAGCATGCCATTAAGGAAAGCATTGTAATCTCTGGTCTTTAGATGGAGAGTTGATGCACAAATTTCCATCGAATGAACGATATAGTACAAAAGAATGAGGGACATTTTTTGCAATACTTGTTCAGTAAGATGAGTTTTTAAATCTCCTCCAGCAATTAATATCAAAGTATCAGACAGAAGGCACTGTGAATAAAACAATGGTAATAAATCTCAAGTAAGACTAAAGACAAGCCTCTGACAAATATTGGAATCGGTACAAGTTAGACAGTGAGAGGAAGGGTATTGGAGGGACTTAATCACTTGCCTTCCAATTGCATCAGTGGCAGATTCTCTAATTTGGCCCAAGGTCTCACTTCAAGTGGACGTAGGTTGAAATCTACCTTACAGATCTGTTGGGTGAAAAAGGTTAGGAAATCATGGAGTGGTGGGTCAGAATGCCTTGGGTTCCAATCAGCCAGAGCAAGCAAAAAGGCACCAAAATAGAGAGTTTAGGTATACCAGTCCCAAAGCTCCTATATCCTATTCTATTAAAAACTAGAGTTACAACTGATGCCTTAAACTAACATAGATGTTTTCCTCCCATTAAAATCAATTGAGTAGGAAAATAAATGTCCAAGATTCACCAGGGCGAAATGGTGTATAAAACAGGCACTTGTTGCTTATGTTTCGATGCACCGTGGTTTCCATTACAAATTCTCCCACAAAGCTGGTCTGCAAATTTCATGCTAAGGACAACTTTCCAAGTCCTTGCAGTGTTATTCATGCAGCTGAAGGCATAAGCAGCCAATGGCTTGAGGAGGGAAGGCACTTTATGCTATCATAGAGAGATGAAGCACTCCCTTTTGACTGAAGGGTCCATTCCACCTGTTGCATGCTGCATTCATCTACTCTGAAACAGCCTATTCTCCACTAATTTAAAAGCCAACTTTGGCTATAGACATATTAAATGCCCTGTTATCCATATTGGTTTCAAAATACAGTGGTGCCTCGCTTGACATTAATTCGTTCCAGCAAAATCACTGTAGAGCGAAAACGTCGTCAAGCGAAATAAAAGAACCCATTGAAACGCATTGAAAACTGTTCAATGCATTCCAGTGGGCGAAATACCTGCCCGTCCAGCGAAGATCCTCCATACGGTGGCCATTTTCTGGTGCCTGCAATGTGAGGAATCCATCCCTAACACAGCGGGGAGCCATTTTCTACAGCCAGTGGCCATTTTGAAACCTGACGATCAGCTGTTTGCTCATCGTTGTAAAGTGAAAAATCGGTCCCCGAAACAGGGAACCGATCAATGTTAAGCGAAGTTCCCCCATCTAAACATCGTTTTGCGATCGCAAAAACTTCAACGTTAAGCGGATTCGTCATCAAGTGGGGTAATTATCCAGTGGGACACCACTGTATACTCAACTAGTAGCAGTGTAAGGTAGGTATCTTACTTGGCCTAATAGAGATTGTCCTGCCCCCAAGCAAATAGAAGGCTAGCAGGGATATATGAATTGGCCCTCAGTCTTCCTTTAATCATCCAGAGTTGGGTTTTTTCTTTTATTAACAGTTTGAAGCTTGCAGGAAATGGGAAATTGATATGAGATAGTGTTGGTTATGGTTAAAATACTGCAAAATGAAACCAGCTGAACTATTCTGACTCATACTTGAAGCATAAATGATCCAGCCGCGGGAGGGTCTATGACCTCGACCGGCGATGCTGGCCTTGCCCTCCACCCGGGATAGCGCGAGAGGGGCCACGTGACTTCCGGGTGGGAGGGGAAGGCCCGGGTATTTAAACGGCCTTCCCCTCTCGGAACGCCCTCTTCTTTTCGGGCACTAGTGCAAGAAAGAGAGTTGCTTCACTTCTTGGTTCAGATCGGCTACTAGCGAGGCGCGAGACTAGGAGATCGGGGGAAGGCAAAACATCGCGGATCGTTAAGACGCGGCGAACTGCGGAGCGGTAGAGGCAACAGCCTCCGCCTTGGCTAAGTCTCCCCTTTTGAATTGGGTTCATCTCAAGGGCGCGGGAGGTGGTGGTATCGCGGCGGGGCTGACCCTCTTACCTTGGCTGTTTTCTGGCACCGCTTCTATCTTTGTAGGGCCCGCGGCGCTCGCCGGCTGCCTACAGCTGCTTCGCGGCGCAGCGCCATCTTAGATCCACGTGGGATACCTTGATAGAGCACCCTTTCTTCCCCTGCCTTGCCTTTCAACCCTCCCGCCGTCTGCTGTGCTTGCGCTGACCGCCTAGTTCTTTCCTCTCTCTGCCGAGGCGGCATCTCCCGTTGTGGGGACCGGGCTGTGCTGGGAGTTTTTTCATGGGAGACATCACTTACTAGGGACCGAGATTAGGTGCCTGCCGCCTGCTGCTGCCGCGCTGCTCGGTGCACTCCCGGGTTCAACCCTAGCACAAGCGGCGGAGCCTTTTTTCCCTCCCGTTCGCGCGAATAGCCCTGTTTGGCTAGCGGCCAACATCTGCGGCTTTCCCCTGTTACACCCGTTGGTTAGGGCGGCTCGTTGGCTTCCCCCTCGCTAGATCTCCTTTCCTCACCGGCGGATTCGCCCCCATTTTCCCGGTGTTTTTTTTGGCCACGCGGCGGCTCCGGGTCGCTCGCGAACAGGTACGCGGAGACAGGGCGGTACTGTGGGGCAGCCTCTTCCCTCATTTTACAAAAGCGTCCTACTTGCATGAGCTGCTTTTTCTAAGTTGATCTCTTGGCTTGCCTGTAAGCCCGGAGAGTTTTCATTTGAATTTCCCGCCATTTCTTGGGCCCCGCCCACTTTCCTAACCCAGTGCAGCGGCTGCTGTTTTCGGCTACTAGTGAAGCACTGGGGGATCCGGGTCAGCTAGCCAGGAGGGGGAATACCCTATAGTAGGAAGGGAGGAGGAATATCCCACATCAAGTGAATTACAGTGCATTGATTGAACGGCTACGATTGCTGAATTAATTTTGCTACTACCTTGAGCATTTTGTTTTAAATTTCCCGCCATTTGTCTGGCTCCGCCCACTTGCCTACCCAGCGCGGCGCTTGTTGTTTAGGCAAATAGTGAGGAGCTGAGGGTTCCGCGCAGGACCGGGTCGGCTACCTGGGAAGGGGATACCCAGAGTAGCTCCACAGCAACTACATTACGCTGCATTGCTGAAGGGCCAAGAGTTGCTGAATTACTTTTGCAATTAACTAGTAGGATATCAAAATATACAGAGAAAAATTAATTGGCCTGCTGAGTATTAAAGCCTGATTTGGAAAGGGTTTAATGAAATAAATTTTATTGCACTGCACTTTATCTGCATCGATCTTCAGATAAATTTACTTAACTATATTTAATTGTATGAATAAATGAATTAACTGTTTGGTTCAGTTTTATACAGAGAAAAATTAATTGGCCTGCTGAGTATTAAAGCCTGATTTGGAAAGGGTTTAATGAAATAAATTTTATTGCACTGCACTTTATCTGCATCGATCTTCAGATAAATTTACTTAACTATATTTAATTGTATGAATAAATGAATTAACTGTTTGGTTCAGTTTTATACACTTTAACTGCAATCAGCTTTACTTACATTTGATTCATATATACAGGTAATTAGTCGTACGTTAATATATAAATAGATAAATTTATTGGCTGATTAATTGGTAAAGCCTACATTGTGATTACTATTTCAATAAATTTTCGCTGCAAGCAGCTTGATCCACAATTAATTCATACGCAATTGATTAGCCGTATATAAATATATTGGATGATCTAATTGGCTGGTTAAAGAGGAAACCCTAAGTTGGAAATTGTAATTGTTAAATATTATATTACAATCAATTTTTCTCCTATTAGTGAGCATTTGAATAATAATTATAAACAAACAAAAAAAATTTAATAAAAAGAGAGAAATTGCACTAAGGTGGTTCGTGGACGCAAGGGTGACTACTGCTTGGCTAACATCAATTCCTATGCATTAGCACCTTGCTGCTTGTTGTACAGTACTCCATTGGCCCCGCGGCAGGATTTGTTTTAATTAGATCAGGCGCACGCAGGGGCGGCAGTCAAAAATAAATAACCGAATACATTTGGATTGGGCATAGAATACACAACCCAGCCTGGGTGTGGGATTACCAGGTGCGGATTGGACGATTCTATACAAATATATATATACATACGCATATATATAATAAATAAAATAGAAATAAGAAGGGGAAGAGAGAGAGAGTCTGGTTAGTGCCCCCGGTTGTAGTACAGTTACCTAGCAAAATGGCGCCACGAAAAGGGGTTGGAAACAAGAAAGGGAAGCAGCCGGCCCGGAGGACGCAGGCAACCCCCGCGTCACCGCCTCATTCCTCTTC